AATAAATAAATGTTAGAAAGCGGAAGAGTAAAAATTTGGAAATATGGACAAAAAATACACTCTTTTATAGTCTAGAAGATATAAATTTAGATTTTAGACATGTTGAGTAGGGGTTTTGGTTAAGGCAAAAAGGGGGCGGCGGATCACCGTAACCTCTCCGGTTTTTTCTGAAGCCAGCGGCGGCGGATCACATGGTAAGCAGTTTCTACTTTTCCTCGTTTTTCCTATGTAGTTAAGCATTTTATGCCATTGAACTTATTAGCGAGATGAAGTAAGAGAGAGAAAGAGAAGCAGAATAATGTCGACGAACACTGCAGGCCAAGTCATCAAATGCAAAGGTTTGTAAGTCCCGAGATTTTCTTTCTGTAATAAACAATTCGTTTTTTAACATAATCAGTCCCTATTAGTTCATGGTACTTAAACATTTGGATCATAGGATGCGAAAATAAAAGAAATTTATGATCTGAGATTTATTGTTGATAATAGTCGATAAAGTAGCTTTTTTTGCGTTTCAATGGCGCTTCTGAAGTTTCCCGTTTTAAAAGGGGATTTATTTTGGTTTTTGGGTGATGAAAAATTGATGAATTTGGTTTTATTTTTATGAGCAGCGGCTGTGGCATGGGAGGCGGGGAAGCCGCTGGTGATGGAGGAGGTGGAGGTGGCGCCGCCTCAGGCGACGGAGGTCCGTCTTAAGATCCTCTACACCTCACTCTGCCACACTGATGTGTACTTCTGGGAAGCAAAGGTATACATATCACCAACTTCCTTTAAATTTTCTTCAACTATTTTTTGAATCGCCTAATGAATCTTACCAGCTTCCCTAAAATCCCATTCAATCTCGAATTTAGTAAATCCTAGGAGCTATAATCTCCTAATTGATATGATTTTACAGTTATCATGTCGGATAATGAGGTTGTTGGTTATGGATTCTGCAGGGACAAACGCCAGTCTTCCCCAGGATCTTTGGCCATGAAGCAGGCGGGTAAGGTCGCTTATACACTGTTAATCTAACTTCAACTGTTATAAGGTGTTTATATTCCAAATTCTCAAAAAAAAAATTTTCTCAAGGATTTAATTCACTTTTTAAAAATAAACATGACTCTTCCAATTCTGCTTTCACTGCCAATAGTTAGTTGGGGATAGTGATATACAGCTTTCTACAATCTGGCAACTCTCCTCATTCTTCCCTCAATATTATATATGTTTGATGTTATCAGGATTGTCGAGAGTGTTGGGGAGGGTGTTACAGATCTAGCGCCGGGTGACCATGTACTCCCTGTTTTCACCGGAGAATGCAAAGATTGCGCACACTGCAAGTCTGAGGAGAGCAACATGTGCTCTCTTCTGAGAATCAACACTGAAAGAGGTGTGATGATCAATGATGGAAAATCCAGGTTCTCCATCAATGGCAAGCCCATCTACCACTTCCTTGGAACATCCACTTTCAGCGAGTATACCGTTGTACATGTCGGTTGTGTAGCGAAGATCAACCCCGAGGCTCCTCTCGACAAAGTTTGTGTTCTTAGTTGTGGCATATCGACTGGTGAGTCGAGCTTTTCTATGTTGGCTGGTAGATTTTGAAAGTTGTGTTTGCCATCTCTAACTATTTGTCTTGGTTCTAAGGTCTTGGTGCTTGTCTTAATGTTGCAAAACCACCAAAGGGCTCAACGGTGGCTGTGTTTGGCTTAGGAGCTGTAGGCCTTGCTGTGAGTATATAAATATCAACTAATGCACTCTACACAGCCATCTATCTATCTATCTATCTATCGAGAGAGAGAGAGAGAGAGAGAGAGAGAGATGTTGAATCTTAAATTATCTTTTGTGAACATAGGCCTCCATAGAATAGTAATTAAGGAATTCCATGTAGAGAAACAGAGAGAGTCATCCTTTTATTCGTCTTTTACCTCATATTTATAAAGACTTATTTGTACAATTACAGAAAGAAGGGAACGGTCATGAAAAATGTCCTTAATGCAATTAATCTTGTTGATTTAATACCAAATTTGTATTACAATTTAAATTTGAATACGATGATAACCAACCAATCGACTCGTTTGTCAGTGGACTGACCGAAAGACAATCGAGCTTGCCAAAGTAAAAGCTGATCGGTTGATTGTTTGCGATTAGACGCCCTTGTATGGAGTTTGGGCGGCTGGGACTGTAGGCGTTGTTCGTCAATTGAATCTCTTGCCATAGTATACTAGCTGACTCTGATCACACGGTCAACCGTTTGAACAGTCGGCTCAGATTGTACTCCCTTATCCTGATGTCTCGATTGTCTGGTTGCCATTTTGGGTCGCTCAATTGCCTTGAGATTTGTGTCGACAGTCCTAGTTTATACATATTAGTTCCTCGATACAATAAGATTAAAGCAAAAATTTAATAATCAGTGGCACTAAAATCAAATAAATTAATTTTCTTTTATATTTTGTGCACAGTGTGCTCTTTAGATTCATAGGCTTGTCATGGCATATGTTGCCGTCAATTTTTCCCATTTAACCGAGTTGCATCATGGCTGATGGTTCGAGCCGGATCACTGTAAACCCTAAATTCTTGCCAAGGCTGACTATGACCCCTCGGATTCTGTAAAGAAGAACAAGGTTAAGAAAGAGAATATGTCTAGGTTCGAACCTTCTTGGGCTGATCAAGTTGACTCATCTGGGGATCCCGAGGGGCGAATGCTAACAGTCCCTCATCAGGAGGCTGCGGTCTTTGAGTCTGGGATGGTTGTAAGCGTCTATTTGTCGAAGGAGCTGAGGCAATCGGAAAGGACCCGACGGGAGGAGCGATCATCGTCTCCCCTCCGCTGCTACTGTAGGAGAGTGGAGGTACCTCGGTGCAAGGGGGAGAGAAGCCTTTTAATACCCTTTCTTCTATAGATAGTTTTATGGTTCTCAACAATTTTTGATATTATTTCAATGCAGATGAATCAGTCGAATCGGAGGACTGTCAGGACGGTGGACCGTCCAAGGACGTTGCAGAGTTCACCCTCGTTGCAGTGGTTGGTCTGTAGGCCGAGTATGCAAGGTTTCTATTGGCAATCACTTCGGAAGGGCATCAGTCTCCCGACCTTTGCCCGCCATCGACTCTGAACAGGAGCGAACAAAGTGCCAACCGTCTGCATCTGGAGCCATGGAGCAACAGCCAGGGGGGTCAAGCCCTTGGAGGTGATGGTCAATTCTTCAGAGGGAGTGGCCGGAGGTTCGGTCGTAGATTTTGTACGGGAGTTTTCCGTCCATCTAGCGTTCATGGGCTCGGATGTCTCGACCTTGCAGGTGAGGCTGCCACCTTGTGAAGTGGGCTGATCAAGGCACTGCGCTAACTAGGGGAGCTCAACAAATAGCTGACTAGTTGAATCATATTAGGTTTCGCAGACAGATGGTTCTCAAAGGGTTGACTCAGAGAGGGTATGTCCCGACTGAGGTCTTGAAGGACCCATTCATAAAACACTTTATTCTAGACCTCTAATAATGTTATTTGAAAACGAAACAACGTTTGAATAAATTTGAAAAGATGTTTGGTGTGACACTTATCGTTATGTGACGCATCGTTTTACGTGTTCTTCTTATAAATAGGACAAGGGACTACTTTTTATTTTACGTGCCCTAGTTTCTTTCTTTGTGCTTCCGATCTTTTTTTTTTCTTTCGTCTTCTGGCCATCTTCAATTCTTTGAAATGACTCCAAAATATTCCCCTATTCTCTTTAGCTCTGTCATGGGTGTTGATCCTTCGTTTTTGACGGAGAACGAGGTAAAGGAGTTGCAAAGGAAGTACATTCTACATGAAAGCGTCGCTCTTCGGAAGTTGTTGGGGGTTTAGCTCGAGCGACCTATGTCTTGGGCAGGGATTTGGTTTTTTACCAAGACAAGTTCAAATATGACTTTTGGTTGCCTCTGTGTGACGAGCTTCAGAGTGTCTTCATCACGGACGGGGTTATTCCGACGCAAATACTGTCGAACTCCTCATTTATTGTTGTCGGGAGCATATTCCGTTGTCGATCGACCAATTTAAGCATTTCTTCTTGTTTCAGGTTGAGAAGGAGGGCTTTGCTATGTTTTCGGCGGGCAAGGAACTCCACCGACTGGGAGTGGAGAATAAAATAAAGGATTAGAAAAAAACGTTTCTGGTCGACGCTTGCTCTGGTACCTGGGGGATCCGGACCGAGTCGTCAGAGCTAGTGGTGCACAGGCTGAAGTCTCTTCCGGAGAATAAGGGCGCGACAAGGCGATGTTGACCGATCGTCACCTCTCGGTTCCACAATACACTGCCAAGGCAACAGTTAGCCATGTGTTGACATGCAAGATGACCGAAGAACAGTGACTCCTCTTGGACATCGAAGAGGCGGTCCGAGCAAAGAAGACAGAGGAAAAGCTGTCCGCCAAGCATCATAAGTAAATTAATCTTGCTAATTTAATACCAAATTTTTATTACAATTTAAATTTGAGTATGATGGTAACAACCGGTCAACTCGCTTGTGTTTGACTGACTGAGGCGACCGGTCGAATGACGTTTCCACCTGTCGGAGTAAAAGCTGATCGGTCAATTGGTTGCGATCGTACACCCTTGTTTGGAGTTTGGCGGTCGAAACTGTAGGCGTGGTTCGCCAATTGAATCTTTCGCCATAGTGTGCCGATTGACTCTGATCATGCGGTCGGCCTTTTGATGGTCACCTTAGATTGTACACCTTTACCCTGATGCCTTGATTGTCCAGCCTCCATCCTGGACCGCTCGATTGCTTTGATATTCCCGTTGACAGTTCAATATATATATATATATATATATTGTGATTAAAGATAAAACGTCCATCTAACTGCTAAAATTATAGCTCTCATTGGCGAGGCAACGTCTAATAAATTAGTACTAAAATTCTCGCTTTCATTAGGCTGCGGAAGGTGCTAGGATTGCAGGGGCTTCAAGAATTATTGGTGTTGATGTGAATCCTAAGAGGTTCAATGAAGGTAAAACTCTTCTCGAATCTGCTAAATGATGCATATCAGTTCACTAATGGGAGTAATGAAGCCTCTCTTTTTCTTCTTTCCAGCAAAGAAGTTTGGAGTCAATGAGTTTGTGAATCCAAAAGACTATGATAAACCTGTTCAAGAGGTTAGTCCTTGAGCATTAATACTAAACGTTTGATTGCTAAGGATGCAGAGAAATTCATAACACTTGTGTGTGGAATTCACGTTCAACTAGGTGCTCTCTGAGATGACTGGTGGAGGAGTGGATCGAAGTATCGAATGTACCGGGAATGTCGATGCAATGATCTCTGCTTTTGAATGCGTTCATGATGTATATCTCTTCTTCCCATGAAAGCTTCTGTCTAAAATCTCCATGTCTCTCTTTTTTCATTGATCAATTCAGCATCTTCTAATTCAAAAACTCTCAGGGCTGGGGAGTTGCTGTGCTAGTTGGTGTTCCTCACAAAGATGCCACCTTTAAGACCCACCCCTTGAATTTCCTTACTGAGAGAACTCTGAAGGGAACATTCTTTGGAAACTACAAGCCTCGCTCAGATATACCTTCGGTCGTCGAGAAGTACATGAACAAGGTATGTCTTTTCCCATGAACTTAGTATGTATTTTCTGTAGCAGTTGAAGGGAGAGTATTGGTTCTGAAATTGACACAGGAGTTGGAGCTTGAGAAGTTCATAACTCATGAAGTCCCATTCACTGAGATCAACAAGGCCTTCGACTACATGCTTCAAGGTGATAGTCTTCGCTGCATTATCCGCATGGATGCTTGAAGATGTTTGTTGCTGTCATATAGCTGCTTGTTACATAGATGGTCTGAATAATAAATACTTTCTACTGCGGCGAGTTTAACCTTATCAGTATTTTCCTTTGTCATGCTTTGTGGAAGAAATAAATGACATTTGCCTTTTATTGTGAGAATTTAATAATTTTGTGCTCAAATTCAAATGGAATTATAAGAATAATTAAAAGCAAACTTTATGGTTTGGGGAATGATTGATAATCGACTATTTTTATTTGAGTGAAAGCGAGCTTTGTTAGGAAGAATGTTTCCCCTATGAAGGAATGTTGTTGTATGTATTGCATGCATGTATGTTTTGCTTTGAAAAGCAGCATTTGAGTGCTAGCCTCAATCGAAATTGGGGACCTTATGTTATTATTGAGGTAATGACATAACTACTAATGGTTGAAATGGCTATCAAGAGCCGAGACATGCCGCTAGAACCTTTTTCACACCCAGAAGAAGGGGAACGGTGCCATAACGTCCAAATGGTAGCATCACGAAACTGGGGCAAAATAAGGCCCTACACTCAAAGGATCATGACACCGAGACAAACTAAGGCCCAACACTCCAAAGAGTACACATACATTAATCATGCTATATGATTATTATTATATTTTACAATGACAATAGTATAGTATAATCTACCAATAGTTTGAAATTAGATTTATATAGCCTTTAGTGTTGATTAGTGACATATGATGCTACTACACATCACCATTGAATTCATTTAATATAATTTAAGTAGCAAACACTAGGGAATAAATGAAGAGAGAAATAACATTCAAATTGCTATTTCATTTCATACACAAAATCATTATGCTTCCAGACTTTGATCCTCAAATTGTAAGCATAGCTTTTTAAAAGTTTTTCTTACCATTTTTATGAGAGAGAAATCTTGGATCTCAATGCCTTCTTTATCAATGCACATCACCTCATGACTTGTGTAAGGAGTGGCTAGTTTCATGTCTTTAACTAAGATATTGAAATATAATGATGTGCTAAGAGTAACAGGCTTCTCCCTTTGAGTAGAAACATCAGACGAGTCCATTACCTATATTAATGTGATACTTTTCTCTATTTATGTTGTTGTGTGAGAGGCATTGAAAATTCTAAGATGCCTCAAAGAGTGAATTTGGGCCATAAGAAAATCCAAAAAAATTGTGATACTTTACAATTAGTTCTTAATATCAACAAAGGAGACTAAAAAACTTCTATAAAAATAAATTTGGAAGAAAAGAAAATAATCTCAATTATAAATCAAAATAGTATATTGCATCACATATTTTTATGATTATATAAAAAATTTTATAACATGAATAATTTTAAAGGTTTTTATAATCTAAAGGCATACAAATTTCAAAAATGTTTAAGTTTCAAATATTTTCCTCTTCATTTTTCATCAATTTTCTCTCTTTTTGTAGTGTGTACAATAGCTCCATGCTTCAAAAAGAAAAACTCAAATATTACTCCCATGCACTCAAGAACTTTATGAAAAGTCAAAGAGTGGCTAATGAATCATACATGAATTTAAGTAACATGTACAAGAACTAATTGAAAAACATGTGATGAAAGCATATAAAATGCTATTTGAACCAACTTATTTCTTATTAGGATACAACAAAAAAAAAAACTAGAATGACAAGCTTCTAATAATTTTTTTTTTAAATAAGGTCGTATAATATATATATATATATTTATTTATTTCATAGCTCTTATTTCTTGTCTGTGTCAAAAGTGCTAATGAATACATCAACTTTCATAAAGTCAAAAGAACTCCAGTTTGAAGGGTCAAAATTTTAATAGTTATCCACCATATTGTAAACAATGATTGCCTTCTAATTTTGATTGATTGTATCATTTCAAACAAAAAAAAAAAATTGTGCGCATCAGTCTTATACATAGGAGCTTCATTTAAGATTTCATGATCAACCTTAAAAAAATAAGTGGGCGAGACACTTGATCGAGTAAGAGCATGTACTTAATCCTTGCATTGTTAATGGCGCAATGGTCAACAAATCTTAAAGCTGCAATCTTGGACATTAGAAATCTGGAGGTAAACATAGCCTCCTGCTTATCTTCTCAAATCAACATCGACTGAGGGGCTCGAGTAACATATAATTTTCAAAATCAACCTTCAAAATGAATAATTGCATGCGCATCACACAGGCTTTTTGAAGTAATAGGGAAGACCCAGAATAGTTCCACGTCAAGCACCCTTTTTTATAACAATTGAAAATATAATAGATAATATAAATTATATATAATAGAAAGTTTAAGGATGAGCATACCTTAAGTATATCACAAAAATGGTTAAAGGAAATAATCGGCTAACAGTAGCTGTGGATTCTCTTTGTTTTCCTCCATCTCTGCAACATCTTCCTTTTTTATTTCCTCCATTCTTCTATTCCAAATGCCATCTATTAACTTCCATGTCTGATCGCTGATAATCTGAGTCTGAAATGAAAAAGCAATGGCAATAATGAGCTAAAACAGAAATGAATGGCTCTAAGTTGAGATGGAAGAGTAATTCTCTGTACCTCCATGGGCCTGGCTGCCCCAAAGGTAGAAAACCCTACATTTCCAGGCGCAAAGGTGACCCTGCCGGGAAGAGAGATTCCATGTATTCCCCATCTTCCAGCATAAATGAGTGCACCATACTCATCCACTGGTCTGACGGGTTTCTGCAACAATGTTCAAAACAGTGAAGATATCGCTAGAAATTTGAAAATTTTTCAATAAAAAAATAAAAATAAAAGAAGTTAAAGCCATAAAAAATGCCGAGTGATTAGAATTGACACCACAATCCAAAAAAACAAATTGTAGCCAGATTAACTGCACTCACAAAATCAATATCAAATTATGTCATAGAAAAGAGTAACAAGGTAGATTTCACCAAAAAACAAAAAATCTAAACTTTATGCCAATATAAGGAGATGGCTCACCCTATAAATTAACATTTTTCCCTTACATTATGTTGAAATTCAGAATAATGCGGAATAATGTTATTGATATGAAACGGGGTATAAAAAACCCTTACATGAATCCTAGAATTAAAAAGACAATAAAAATTAAAAAACAGGAAAGATATAGTACCTATATCTTCAATTAATCAATTCATATTAATTACTTAGAGATAAATAAACAGAAAAAAACATAAAATAGAAAAGGAAATAACTCCAATCCAAAGAAATAAATTTAATCCACGTAACTTCTAATAAGAATAAATTATTTTCTAATATAGCTTCTAGCATTCCCCCTCAAGTTGAAATATGGATGAAAATCATGTTTAACTTAAATTTGAAAACAACAAACAATGAACAAAAAAGATTCTTTGTGAGATAAAACATCAAGTTTTCATTTCGTACTTGGTAATCAACCCCAATAGTATTTACTTGACTGCAGTTGTCTTTGACTGCAGTTTCTGCAGTGTCTGTAGGTAGTCAGAAGGCTTCTACAAGCAATGCTGCAGGGAAGTTTGCAGAAAAGTAGATAACTAACAGGAAAAGCTCTGAAGGTAGGCCTTACTGTAGGAAAAGACTCCGGAGGAGGGCTTGATGCAGACAAAATTCTAGTGGAGGACCTACTGCAAGAAAGCTATAGAGGGCTCGATACAGAAAAAAGTTTCGGAAGAGGGTCTTGCTGCAGAAAAAGGCTTCAGAGGAAGGTCTGCTGTAGGAAGAATTCCGGTGGAGGACTTGCCGCAGGAAAAACTTCGAAGGGCCCGATATAAGAAAAAACCCCGGAGGAGGGTCGGATGTAGAAAAAGGGCTCGAAGAAGAGCTAGCTAAAGAAAGAATTTCGGCAGAGGACTTATTGCAGAAAAAGCTCCGAAGAAGGGTCTGATACAGGAAGAAGTCCCGGAGGAGAGCCTGATGCAGAAAAAGGCCTCGGAGGAGGGCTTGCTGCAAGAAGAGCATCAGTGAAGAACCTGCTGCAGAAAAATCTCTAGAGGAATGTCTAATACAAGAAAAAGCCCTGGAAGAGGGCCTGTAGCAGGGAAAAAGCCGGAGGAGGGTCTGCTGCACGAAAGATTTCGGAGTAGGGCAAGCTACAGGAAAAGTTTAGTAGGAGGAAATAGCAGTAAAGGAAAGATATATAAATATAATTAATAAATTCATATTAATTACTTAGAGATAAAGGAAAGGACATAAAACATAAAATGAGAAAGGAAATAATCCAATCCAAGAAAATAAATTTAATCCTCATAATTTCCAATATGAATAACTTATTTCCTAAAAAAACCTCTAACACATTACATTCAAATGAATCAAAATCCAATCAAGCACATACGATTGAAAAAAATAAAAATTTTAATCAAATATAAAAAAGCTCATAAAAAGTCTCAAAGATTTATTTATAAACATAAAAAAAGAATTCAAATCGCTAGAAACAGTGAGAAATAGAAGCACAAGGCATTCAACTGAACAAGCATCAATGGTTTTGAGAAGCACAGAAATCCTACTGGTAGAAAAATTTAGAAAGGACAAGATGCTGACATAAGTGGTGGTGGCATTTATATACGCAGATGGAGGACCATGAAAGAGGTTGAGGTTTAGTTTGGTTAGGCTTCTCCTTTTAAAAAAACCGTTGCTTTTTAAAATTTGATTAAAGTTTCGTCTCAAATTGGCAAGAAAATAGAGTTTTTAAAAGCATTTTTAAAAGAGCATAATGACAAAACAACTCATTTCATGAAGAAAGGATTATTTCTGAAAAAGAAAGCAGCAATGAAGTTTTCTCAAACGAGCCTTTATTCAAATTGGCAATGCTTTTTAATAAGAATCATAATTAACCAAAATGAAATCAAATCCTCCCATAATATTATCCTCAGTAGCTTCAGTTCTTTAAGTGAGCTTCCCAATACATAATATAGAAATTAAACAGACCACAGTGATGGATGTAAAGTGAAACAAATAAATAACTGCACAGTTTAGAGATTAATATTGTATGCATTAGATTAAAAAAAACAATAATAATAAGTATGACCAGATCTAGAAAAGATTTTTTTCTTTGAAGTCACACACAGCAAGAAAAATTGGCGTGCAGACCTGAGGAATTCGTGGAGCTTTCCTGTATATGTCCCAAATTTCATCAGCCTTGATCCATCCTTTCTCTAACAAGACATCTAAAAAAAAAGCAGGAGTGTAATTTTTCAGCAAAAAGTGCTAAAAACGAAAAGATTTCTAGGGATAAATATTTAATTTCTGTGGGTACACTGTATTAAGGTCAAACCTCCTATCATAGTAAAAATGATTAAAAACAAAAGAAATCTAAAATTGAGTCCACATAACAACAAGCAATGAATGAGTTTAGCATGCCTGTAATTGTCTCAACTGCTGAACGGTATTCGCACAGAACTGAAGAACATTTCTCAACAGCAAAACGAATGTACTCACTCCTGAGATATTCCAACTTTGCCGCAAGCTGAATCCTACAAGAATTAAGTGTTAATTTATGCATGTGGACAGTTGTATTAAAATTCAGGTAGGTGCCATACTAAGAAGAGCTTAAGGAACACATACGTTTGGTACAAGGTCACTAAGGTTTCTATAGTATGCTTTCCCAAATGCCGTCATCCCGGTTTGAAGAATCAAGAACTCTGCACGTCTTGAAGCCTCTGATGTAGCCTTCGCAGAAATCCAACTCAAGTTGTCGATCCCAAACGTTTCCTCTTCTATTACCCTGGCTATTTATCTTAAACATAGTGAGCAAACAAGAAAGAATCGAAAATGACTTAAAAAGCAATAAAAAAAAGTAATGTGTCTGCTTTCCTGATCATGATAAAAGAACAAAATGGCTAGATGAGAAGTAACTAGACTATGATATGGGATAAATAAGTTATTTAGATTCAACTTTTACCTATATATTTAAAAAAATGTTAAAAGAGATCTGAATTTCTTAAATATTCTCAAAATTTCCTCAAGCAAGAACATATAAACTAGATAGAATATGCTTGCAAAACAGCCTACAGTTGAGAAATTAAGCTTATTTTACAAATTCCATACACTAATCTTATGATTAAATCTCAAAAGGTTTGCAAATGGATGTAAGACATTTAAGCGTACAGCATGCTTCTAAATTATCGTAGAACTTCTAAGAAGCTGGCCGTAAACAGTAAGAAAAGCTCAAATCAAATGCTTGTTCCCACCATCCCAATACCATCCAAATCTCTGATGCTTGATATATTTTGCTTTGGTATTAGTTTTTCTAGCAGATTATGGTTGGCCAAGATTTTAGATTTGCCGAGATGCGTGCAACTGTTGAGTATGGTAAAACCTTTTATGTACTTCAATTTTTGAAAAACAAATGGCATAAACCTTATTGATTATAGCCGCTATTTCAATGATCAAGAGAATAGAAAATATTGCTTACTGTTTCCATGCACTAGAAGTATATATAATAAGCTAACTAGATCTAAAATCAAGATCAATCCAGCATTCAGGGTATTTGGGATTCTTTAAATTTTAATCATAATGAAGTTTTGTTCTTCAATTGACCATCTTTGCAAAGTTCTACACCTCTCAAAAGAAGTGCGTTGGGGCCCCGCTAAGATATGAACACCCATTTTGAGTGTGTGTGTGTGTGTACGCGTGTGTGTACGCCTTTGCAAATAAGTTCCTCAAGTTTTAAGGGTAAAAAGGTTATTCTGATCATGCTAAAGCTAGAGAAAGAAGGAAAGAAAGTGGCAGTTCTGGGAAGAGGTAGGTTTGCAAGCTATTTGAGGAAAGAGTCATCACTAAATATTAAAAGCTATTGAATAAATAGGTAGATTTAAAATTACTCTGTTAAAAACGCAAAAATACAAGCATTCATGATATATATATATATATATATATATACATACCCTGGCCTGTTAGTTGGCATCCATGGTATAAGACCACTCAGGTCGGAGTTTCGAATTCCCTCTAGCACATGTGGCCTTAAGGAGGTGGTATTCACATTGTTAGGCACATTAGGGGCGGCTGGAGGCTCATATAAAAGCCTCTGGTCATTCCTTTTGACAAAAAAAAAAGTAAAAATAAAAATACAGTATATATGTTTGTGTGTGCGTACGGGCACTCGCGCAACTGGTGGTCTGTTGGATGACAGCTTCGGAGTAATTCCCTTCTGTCCGGGGTTCGAATCCATCTGGGTCGAATTAGCACATATGGGGTGGACAAACACATGTTGCCGTCTATCTTTTTGAAATATCCATACTAATAATAAGATTATTAGCAATGTTGATATTTGAATCTAAATTATAGATACAACATGAAATAGTAAAATAAAGATTGAAGTAAACAAAACGACTAAACAAAGCTCCTCCAATGGTAGCTCATTTTTTTTCCCAACAAAACTTTGGTAGTATCTGGCTGGAGAAGTCGATGAAGACGAATTGCTAGAAGAGGTTAAGGTTGGAGAGTGGCTCACTGTTGCGGAGAAGACTGACAACATTATTTATATTAAAAAAATATTACAGGGAATGTCAGCACTATAATAACAATTTCACAAGCTTACCACTATTACTTAAATTTTGTAGATTTTGCATTAGCTTACCCCAAATGCATCATTTTTCCCTTTAAGTAGCTGATATTCATGCAAATAAATAAAAATAAATGACTGAATCGTACAATATCCAAGCTTAGGTATGAATATGCTGTTTTCCCCTAAATTACTTGAAGAGACAAAAAAAGTACTTATGATGCATCGGTGATAATAAATTTTGAAAATGGAAGAAAGTAATAAAATAAGAGCTAAAAAATGGTTGCTAGGCTGGAAAAAGAATGAAATAACAAAGTGGGATCATATGACTCACGAGCACATGCTTGTACTATCAATTTCACATAATCAGACTTCCTTGAAAAGACCTTTCCAGAAAATTCAGAATACTGCATGTTAGGCTTACTACTGATTGTGCTTATATCAGTCTGCAACAGATGAATAGGCCATCAAATAAGGGGACTAATTAGATTAAAGTACAATAAGAAAGGAACATTTTAAACAATAAATTTTTGGGGCATTTACATACATAGCACCTTCTTATAAATTTACATATGTAACACCTAATCTTTGCTTTTTTACATTTACACCACCCAAATCCTCCATATCACATCAAAAGTACCACTATGTTAAATTCTAAAAGGTTAAATACACCTTTTTCATGTATAGTTAAGGTGGCATATATTGAAGTTTAAGTGTTATATACATAAATACATAAGAATTGAGTCGTGTGTATGTAAATCTTCCTAAACTTCATTTCTCTACTTGCCTGTATAAATGGGCGGTAAGGATCTGGATAATAGCATGCAAGAACAGCCACAGCAGCTTCCCTATAAGCCAACCTAATTTTTAAATCCTCAGGAATTGCAGTGCTATCTTCCTGACCAGTTGCAAAAGTACCTTTTTGCTGCAAACATATTATGGTTTACAACAGGATATGTAAATCAAAACTGGATCAGTTCTTTTCATCTCACACTTTAATACCATGCCATTTGGTATGGTTATACGCCAACAATTCAACAAATGCATAAAATTTGTAGTACCCTTTTAAGAGCCTCCAGTAGTTCCTCCCTTTCGATAAAGTCTTTGTCCTTTCTAGCAGTCAAAATACCAGCTTCATTCCTGAACATGAACCTCATAAGTATTAATTACCATTCCTAACAGTCAGTCAGGTGAAAACCATGTGGGGGTAAAAGGACATTTTACAATATATTCTGGAGCTCTGCTCCCGTAAAATCAACTGCAAGATCCGCAATTTCTTGAAGAAGGGCCTCTTTTTCCAGGTCAGACCTAAAAAATTTATTCTTAGCATGTACCTGTTTTCATAGGTAAAACATTAGGAAGACCTTATAGCACTTAAAAAAACTTCAAAAAAAAAAAAAAATCACCTTCAATATGGCCAGTCTTCCATCTCTAGATGGCAAGCCAACCCTTATTATTTTGTCAAAACGACCCTTCCTCAACAGAGCTGGATCCAATATATCCAAGCGATTAGTTGCACCTATGACTAACACCTGGCAGTAAATGCAACTGGTAGTATATATAAATTGTCCAAAGAAAAATGATAAGCCTCAACAAAAATAGTAAATACCTGGGCTGTTGATTCTTTGAACCCATCCATCTCAGTCAAAATCTGAAGCAAGCCTTGCTCCCTTTCAGCTCCACCCTAACTTGAGCAAAAAGATCTCAAACACAAAGATATACCACAAGAACAAAATCAGAATTCACAATATAATTATTTTTAAAATGAAGAATGAAATTCCTGTATGAGCATCACTAAAAGTTGCAAGAACTATCAGATGCCTCATTAATAAACTGTTGTTCAAACGTGAGGCATGCCTATTTGCTAATTGCTCTCTCTCTCTCTCTTCCAGCCTTCTTTTTTTATTATTGTTGGATGAAAATGTGATTGGTTTCATTTAACTCTATTACAGTCCAATTTCATTTGTATACAAAGAATTAAAATCAATTGTATTGCTTTCATTAGCATTAATTTCTATCTTAGAAGCGACATTTGTTTCACTCAAATTAGATTTTAAATATTTATTTTTTCATTGAAGGTAGTAAGTAGCAGCTGAGATTATTAGCTTGCTTTAAAAAAAAATGTTTGTTAGCATTCAGCTCTATCTCAGATGGTATTGTTTCTCAAGGTAGCGATCACAAGTTTGAGCAATGAAAATTTTCTTTAGTTCTTGCATGAAATTCCATCATGCAATTGGTAGTATTCTAACGTATTTGTAACTGACCGCATATCCTACTATCTGTAAATGATCTTGTGCCTTACTTTCAATATCGTTTAGTGAAACAAGAGATGAGCGTTAGACGGACATTGATACTCAAGTGTCCTTGCCTCGCCAATTTGTCTTTTCCTCATCAATGTATTTGATCTCATTAGAAGGCATAACACAAAACATACTCGCCACAAAACAAAAGTACCCACACGCATCATTCCAACACAATGAGAAAATTATACTATGCCGCTTGGCCATTCTCCTCCTTCCTTTCTCGTCACCTTTCCTTTATTGTTTTCCATCTAGCTAGATCTATTTATGTGCTTGTTTCCTGAGTAAAGAGGTAGTCTTTTGCTGTGTTTGATTTCAGATTTCCTGTGTGGAGTCATCTTCCACCTCGAGGGATGTGTCCGATGGTTAGGGTGGTGCTCCTTCTATATCCCTCTCCCCTGGTGATTGTATCTTCCTCATTCTTGTTCCCAGGAGTATAACTTGTTGTCTAGGACCTTCCCGCCAACCCAAATCACCAGCATCTTTGCTGCATCACTTTTGACCCACCCATCCTTGTTGTCGTCGCCCCGGGACGCTAACCTTTGTTGTGCCTGTCGTTTCTATCCCAATTTCTTGATGTAGCTACATAGGACAGCATGTCCTCTAACTGTTCTTGCTGTTTTCCCACCTCAACTTCTCTGCCGCCACTCCCTCTAGTCATCCCAACCCACCTAGCAACCTCTGTCACCCCTGCTAGTCATCCCTGTCGTTTTACGTGTTGGTGATGTAATTTTCAGTTGTGCGTGTTGTAACTCTATTTCCCCATTAATAAAAGTTATTTTTTTTGTGGTTTTAGCTTTCTCCTCTCGTATCATTTGGTATCAGAGCTAGTTCAACCCTAATCCCATCCTAGGGTTTCCTAGCGTCCACCCCTTCCCAAGCCACTCCCACAAAATTTTCCTTTCCCAATTCTCAAACCTCCAACAACAATTTGACCTAAACCTAATTTTTCCCTTGCTGATTTCAACATCAAATTAATTTTTTTTACACCGTCAATGAGTCTCCTACATTCTCTTTCACCTCTCAACCCTAAATCTTAGTCATGCCACTAATGAGATACATTCCCGAGCCTAACTGGGAGGAAATATAGCGAGCGATCTACCGACTTCTGCGGTGGATTGCGAACATTGAAGATGAAATCGAATGGAACGTTACCCTTGACCGTGATCGGGAGTGTCGAAGGGGAGAATGAGATAATTTGAGGACAAAACAGGAGACACAGTACTATTTTCTACCAGCTTAACATAGACAAAAACTTCACATGTTAACTTCAAAAGTGGAGGGACAACACCACCAAACGAACTCCATATACTACAGGCAGGGGACCTCAAGATCTTATAGCCCAAGTGTACCCAAAAGAACACCCAGGACAACCCCGTCGGAGAACAAACCGAGTCAAATATAGAATAGGTGAGACCAGACCGCATCCCTACATCTATCACAGTCAGGAAGTGTTGTAAGTGCCACAGATTTGGGCATGTGGAATCAGAATGCACCGCTAAGGGAGAGATCTCTTTCATTGAGCTGGTTGTTGAAAAATTGGGCAATGACATAGTTGATATAGGAGAAGTTGAAAACTTCTGGGAAGAATCTTCACTTGCAGCTAGCGAGGAAGAGACGCAACCAGTTCCAGTGGACCCTAAGATAGAGATTCCAGCTGAAGTAGCAGTAGTCGTTATGGAAGGTAGTGACCTCGATGTAATGAGCGTTCAAGCAGAGTATGAAATTATGGTACCTCAAGATATTGTTTCACAAGCATTGAGAGAAACAACAGAAGAACTGACCTTAGTAGTCCAAAAGGATCACAAGCCTGAGGAGCTGACATCAAATACAAGGCCAACACAGATACAAGAAATACAACTTTTTTAGATGGTTAGACCTCTTTCTGAGTTATCCTTAGGGGGGAGGTCCAACACGTCTGAAGAGGAGTCATTTTGTGCTAGGTTGGGAATATCACGTAGAGTTATCCAAATACTATTTTCTATTTCGAATGGTACCACTCGTCAAATGTCCATACAAGAGAGATGAACCTCAACTTTGTAATGAGCCTAAGAAGCTTGATGGGGACGAAAATTTTGCAATGGGATCCATATCCTATATGTGGGGAAGATGTTTCTCTTGAGGAGCTAGTGAGAGTGGCGCACCCTGTCAAAGATGTCAACCCAAAGTGGATTTCTCCTCGCATACTAGCTTATCAGTTGCACCCAGCCGAGTACGAAGAATGGAATAAGCAGGTGTCAGTTGTTAAAAATTCCTCTTTGAAAAATATAAAACATAGTTTTGATTTAATTATATATATATATATATATATATATATATATATTGCTTTTTTGAAAATAATATTTTAATCTTTGAAAAATGAGACTGGATGAATCTCATTCATTTAATAGTTTAAGTAAACGAGCACAACACCGCAAGTAACACACCTATCCCGAGGGACAGACACATGGTGGTGAAACTCGATTAAATAAAATAATAAATTCATGACATTCATTTTGGTCTGCGAACTTTTTATTTTGATTGACAAGTTCCCCTACTTAATATAAAAAATTAGATGAAATTTATATTACTTGAGTTCTTAAAGCTCCATATAGAGGCACACCCCTACAGTTAATTACATCTCAAATGACTGAAGTCACTTAAGAGAACTCTCGATGATGATCAGAGATATCTATCTTCATGAATTCAAAGTTTATGGTTCCAAGGTCGAAGAAGAAAAATCAAATGCGATAGGATCAAATGAAAACATTTATTGTCGGAATCCAAAGGAGGTAGGGGATGTCACGGATCTCGAGAACCTCGGTGACTTCCCAAACTATTCTACTGTTTTGCTTCAATTTTGAAAAGATGTTTTTTTATGTTTCATCATGCTTATTTTATTATTTATGGCTTATATTTGCATGACACGGTCATACAAATGACATAGAAGATAAAAAGATTTACGTTGTATCGAACGACGATCTTAGAGCCTAAAGCGAGTTAAAGCTTATATTGCACTTGAAAGATAAGATGAGAATTTATGTTGCGCCAGCAGACCACCGTGTTATTTAAACTAAGAAAATGTTTAGCGAATATAGACTTGTTTTGTTGTTGTAGATCGTCATCTTCCGTCTGTTATGATTTCGTCGTGCTGCCCACAAAAACTTGATCTATGTCGTAGCACTTTCAGGTTCTCGACATATAAGCAGTAGTTTCAATTTTTTTTTATAAAAATTAAAATTAGATTTTATACATGTGAGCACATGAAAGTTCCAAATGTAAGCATGTGAATGTCCAATTATATAAATTTTAGCTATTCAAAAACATATGAATCAACTATAATAATAAAAAAAAAAACTGAAAAACTCATAAATTTGAGAGCCTAGGCATATGAATGTATAAAAATCCAATGGTATTTATGCAATTCCAAAAGTTTTAAGAATGAAGATGCACACACATTAAAATATGTTTCACTTCTCATTTATCCAAGATAAAATAGATGTCCACCTGCTTGTCATCAGCAATCCCTCTCAAAGAAGAGAAATATCTAGTGCAGCTAATAAAACCATAATCAAACCCGAGATGAGAAAAATTTCAGCCACCAAACCACTCACTCAATTCTTGTATAGTCACATACCTAACATCTTATCTCGCTTCTATTGTTATTTTACAACCATATCACCCAAATATTTTCATGTATAAGCATGCATGTAAATGATGGAACTTAGGTGTTACATGTGTAAATATGTAAAGATTGGATGGTATGTAAGCAAATACCCCTTCACCCAGCAAAGCAAATGCACATGCTGCAATAATGCTGTTAACAAGAATGAAGGTTGTTGCAAGCCAACCATCCAATGAGTGTGACCACCCAAAAGAGTCGACCAATACTCCCCTAATTCTGTATACCAGGCAGGGGCCGCCACACCACAATAAATAAGGAAAATAGGCACAATAGAACAATCCAAACATGCAACTACTTAGTCGAGAAAATCATTCTCTGACAAATCAACACTATTGCAACTAATAAAAAAAGTAGGTGTTACACATCTCAAAAGTATTGCAAACACCAAAGTTTTCATATTTTCAAAAGCAAAGCACCAAGGCCTTCCAATCTTTGCAAATGACAAATAAAACCTTTCAGATTTAAAAAAAAAAAAAACAAGGCACACAAGGCACCAAGACCCCAGTGCACCCCAGTGCACTTGGTTTAGAGGGAGGCTCCACAAAATTAGTGCAATTGGTTGAAGATAAAAATACAATGAAATGGGCTATTAGAAGCAGCATAGGTGGAACACCATACTAAACTACTACAACCACAATGATATCGAAAGCTCAAATAGTAGAAGTTCAGAGGGAGGCTCCACAAGACATGAATAAAGGACAATGACTAGGGGTGACACTC